TTAGTTATAGAGATGAGGCTTTAAGCGGCTCTTTACGTTGATCAAAATAGTGTCGCTCATTAATAAATAAGTACCTATAAAAATTCGCACCTATTAGGAGAAAATATGTGTATTTGACTTTTTAAATTTGGGACACAAAAAAAAATCGTACCAAAATAGTAGTAAAAATAGGAAATTGACAATTATGATTATCTGTATAGCATGTCTTTTAGTAATGATCAAAAGGGACTATCTATATAATATGGCTCTTAAAAGACATTTAAAGTTTTTCAAATCACTTAAGAAACACTTATTTATTTAATAGAAAAACTTCAAAAAATCACACAGTTGTGTTTATTATCGTTATATAAATCAATGGTGTATTTATTGATACAGGTAACCTGTATGCATCTGTATGCAATCAGTAGTAGTTTTTACACAGCAGTGGTGTTATCTTTATTTAAAACAAAAACATAGAAATATTTTTATGTTTTTGATTGAAAACAGAACTATAGAAATATTTTTTTAACTCAGCAAAGACTTGTATGCACAAATATACCGAACTTAGGCTTTTGTCCTGTTATGACCAAAGTTACATTGAAAAATAATTAACATTTTAATATTAAGGTAACCATAAATAAAATAAATCATAAATAAAAAAATAAACTACATTAAGTACAACAAGCAACAACTATTAAATGCAATACAAAATACTCAGAGCTCATGAAAACATGAATATTAAGAAAACATCTATGTATGTATGTATGTATGTATGTGGGTATACGTTAACAAAAGCAAAAATACAACAACGAACCGTTGCAATATTTCTAACATTACCTACCTACGTACCTACCTACCATTTAATGAATTATAATTTTATTTTGTGTTCATCTCAATATGAGCATTTTTATAAATTGCGAACGTTTTTGTGTTAGCACAACATTTATATTCTCATGCTTTATTCATTTTGCTTCTATTTATTTTCGTATTTTTTCTATTCTCACAGCACAATGCCGACTTTACTCACCAAAAGACCGTAGCAAGCCGAATTGTAGCAAATGCTGTGTATGAAATAGAAGCGACTGTACGTGAGCAAGGCATTGCAAAGAATCATACATACAATGCATTACATGATAAAACTTAACGAAGATTTCTTGACTCTCACAATTGCTGTAAAAATGAAAACAGTACAAAAAGGTATGGAGAGTAAATGTTGAAAACAAGAATTTTTGTGAGTATAAAACTTATTGCAAGCAATGAATATATGTACCTATCTATACTGGAATTCATTATAGATTAATTTAGTATATCGTTTGTGTTCAAACAGTTAAGATTGTTTCGATTTATTTTGATTTTATTTTTTTTGTTAAGAAAAAGAGTATTAAGTTATCAGAGGTGAGTAAAATTTGTATACTCACATGTTTATTAAAGATTTTGGTTCATACTCATTTGTGTATTATTAGGTGATTAGTTGGTATATGCATACATATATTTTTAATATAAAACATTATGAATGAAATGTACTATAAAACAGAAATATATACAAAGCGATATTACCAATTCAAAAAAAATTTAGAATTTGTTTTTTATCAAATTTAACTAATTAAATTTGTTATTTCAATGGTTATGATATAGTGGATTTTAGCAAAAAAAAGATCAGTAACTATAGACTTTACGATAAAACCGGTTTCAGACTATTTTATTTAGTATGTGATACATTGTTGTTTAGTGGATTTTCTTAATAAAATGGACCACACTCAGTAAACGTGAAAAGAAAGAGATTACGAGTAATGGTTGCATTTTCGATATTTGAAAATATAATACTTCATTGATTCTGTATATTTACTACTTTATATTTGATAAATAAAGTAGGTTAATATAAGCTCACAAAATAAAGTTGATTCTTCGTGGACATTTTTTTTTTGATTTTATACACAAATGCAGTCCTCTCACCACTAAAAAAAGGCATTGGTTGACCTTAAGTGTATAAGAAAATGTAGAGAGGCAGAAATCAGAGTTGTTTAACATGATTCCATGCCTTGAAAGCTCAAGACCACGATGTTTCAAAAATACACGTATCCAGATAATGTGCAGATAAATGCCCCATTGAAAATTCAAAGGAATTTCCATCGGTTCCAATAAAAGTTATATGTTTGGGATAAGTTTTACTGCTGATCTTTAGGTCGCAGCACCCGGTGTGAGTACGCAACTTTACGCCGAATGTATGAGTTTAACTACAGCCACCACGACACTGCCAACCTTGATTGGTTAAGACAACCGAAGTTGCTGGCACTGATACCCGTGGTACCAGATATACACCTCAAGGCGAGTGTCGCAAGTGAATTTCACTTACTACCACTTACACTCCAAACAGTGTTGGAATGCTCACTTCAGCTTAGTCGTATCAACTTAGAACATTATTCTGGATAGTCGAAAACTGATCCTACTGGCGAAAGTATCAAAAAATTATATTAAATGATATTTAATGATAATCTAATAAAAATATACGACATGTGAAAGCATCCTACAATTTACTTTGATGGAAAATAGAGTTGCTTCTGCGCTTTGAAAATTAAAAAATAATCAAAATAGAACGAAGACTGTGATTCTAGTCAATAAGGTATGGCTACCCTCTCTTTAAAAAAAAGCGTAAATTTATCACTCCACTTTGGAAATTGAAGAATAACTATAGTAATGGAATAAGAAGATGAATGGACTTCAAAGAGAACGAATACTGTAATGTCAGTTAATAAAACCATGGACATCCTTTTTGGAATGAGAAGCGTATGTCATTGATTATCAACAACAAAATTTTTGTTAATTGAAGAGCTGATATTTGGCATAAATTCATATTTTAAAGACCACTTTTTCTGAAGAACAAATTATTCGAAAACTACTATTAATTGAATTCTGCAAATATATAAAAGTTTCTATGATGAAGAGTTAAAATTGTAAAGACCGATTAACAAGTGTCTCCCGGCTAAATTAGATTATAGCTGTCTGGTAATCAGTAAAGTATACACTCTGCAAAGAATAATGAAGATATGTATATAGCTTCAGATAACAAAATTTGTTTATTTGAAAGAATAACCAAATATATTACTTTATCAAACATAGCGAAATAAATATGTAATGTATTTTATAACCTTTCTGATGTCATTATCTTGCTAGTAAAATTTGTATTACCAAAAAACAAAAATTGTATATTAACTGCCCAATTTAGATAACTCAGCTTTCCCCTTTTATCTGCTATGGATTCTAATATATGAATTATTAGCCAGGATAGATGTATTTCACATATCATTTAAATTGAAGTGTTTAAAGTAAGATATACGATTGTATATACAGAACAATTATAGAGAGAATATTGAATTCTCTTTAATCTCTTTGGAGCAACAATATCTAAAAAGTGATGATAATGGGATCGATATAAAATTTAATATTTGGCTTTAGGTTAATGACGACGCAAAACAGAAAAATACGGGGGAGAAGCGTAGTATTCAAGCCACCACGCTGAATACGTGTTTGCTAGAACCATACAAGTTGTTTTGTGAACACTTTTATAACTATCTTTAAGTCAGTTATGTTCGAAACTGACTTCATTGGTCCAGCCCGTTCGCTCAAACAACATTAAATCGGTTACGTTAGCAAATGACTTTCAAAGAGAATTATTTATAGACATATATTCATATACACATCAAGCTTATAGCTTGAGATGAACAAGTAAAAAAGGTTTATCTACTATTGTTGTACTGTAATATAGTTTACACAAAATCATCTTTATGTCTCAAAAAGTTCGATATAGTTTTTTATTATAAAGAGATTTAGTTTCGTTATTGTAATATAAGGGTTTTAATCAGTATTATTTTCAAAATACTTTAGGCAACAAATAAAAAGAAAAATGAATTGGATTTCAAATGATTCTCCTCTAAGAAGACTGCTATCATCTTGGAATTGCTCAGTGCTTGCAGAACACTTTGAGAGTAAGTCTTTATGTCTTAAGTCGTTATGCATATCGGTGATTAGGGACTGGTTAAAAGTAAGCAAAGATAAGTAAAATTGATAAAAAAAAAATCAATAGTTAAGTTTTGCAAAGCTTCTTCCTAAATACCGATACTTATATATACATACATATCGTAACTGTACGTAAGACATATCCATTATTCCAGATGAAGGAATTGATGTTGAAGAAATGGAGATAATGACACCTCAACATGTTGCAGAAATTTTATGCATTTACGATTCAGATATTCGAATACGCTTTCAACAAAACTATATAAAATGGCGTAACCAGATAAATAAGCCTTACAATGCTTTATTTCTAAAATATATCAATTTTCATTCAATAGAAACGAGATTTATTAGTAAGCAATTAAACCCCAATTATTATCAACGCAATAATTATGAATTAGAAAAGGTTGATGTGTTGTCAAATCCAGAAAAGAATAAGGCTGTTTCACCAGTTATAAAATTAACAAATGATGCTACGATGCTAACTACTGATTCATCATTTAAAAGTTTACTTGAAGAAATGCCAGAAGTAATATCGCGGCAAGAATTTAAAAGAAGGCAATCTATACCGACCGTTGGAGGAAAAGTACGTAATTCTACTGATCCGAATTTATTTTCGGTTTTAGCTATTCTCAAGTCAAATGGTGATAAGGGTTTGGAAATCCTGAAATATTATGATGAATTTAAAACCCTAACATGGAAGCTACGCAAAATACTAGTAAACTTGATTGTGAAATATTTTATTAAATTAGATTTGCATATATCGCTGAAATTGAGTTATAATCTGGAAAAACAGATTCTTAAGATATTTCCAACTGAAAAACTTAAAAATTATCGCACTATTAAACGAGGTAAAATTTATACCAAATTCTGTCATATGAATCGTAGTAAACGTATGGATATCAAAGTTTAAGAAAAAGAAGAACGAAGAATTGGATGCTATACAAGATGTATAACTTTGAGAGCATCAATATCTGCCACTGTGACTAATCTATTACGTTTGATAGTATAAAGAGTAAGACTGAAGGTGTATTGATGAAGATTGTATGCAAATTCTGATTGACATAATAAATTTTGTTAGTGATTTTAATAGTGAAAATCTTACTTAGGTAAATGTACAATTATTACTTCTATATCTAAAAAAAATAAACGAAAAAATTTGAAATATTTTTTTATTTATTTATACATCAAAAAATGCACTCTCCAGCATTTATTCGTTCAGTCAACAACACGAGCGGACTCAAGCTCAGACGAATCATATCTTATTCACCTTACTTATGCATAAAAATACCTAGGTTAGGTTAGGATTAAAGAGGTTAAAGAGGTAAAAAATTAAAGTTTTTTGTTTCCAAAAATGTTAAAAATATATTTGGATTTAGATATTTATCGTAATATAATCCTACTATAAAAATTATGTTCTATGACAGGGATGTCTAGACCAGATGTGATTGCGGGCCAATACAAATCAGTGTACGTATTGGAGGGTCGCAGAAACAAATACATAGTTGCTTTGGAGAAAAATAAAAATACGATTATACGAATAATATTAAATTTTTTAAATTAAGTTCATTTATTTGGTATACCATCAAAATACCGAAGTACATTAAAAGAAAATTTGCGTGATTGTGATAGATTAGAAACGTGTGGCGGGCCGCATGAAGCCCGTTCTATGATATAATAATATATTTACGACTGCACAGGTTATGAATAATATATTATAGATATAACTTATTAATTTAGTTAAATCTTTTTTATAAATACAACTTATAGTTAAATTGATATTAAATTAATGGTGTTCCTAAATATCGATATTTTTGAGCTATTGCTGATCTGAAAATGTTCCTTAATTGTTTATTCGAGACGGTTTTAGTGGGTTTAAGTCTCACACTGTGGCTGTCGATGTTTTCCAGCTATTACAAAAAAAAATTTTTATTTGAAGTTTGAAGTATTTTGTGTTAAAGTTATATGAACATTTCTTTCTCTAATACTGTACTGTCATTTATCTCAGTGTTCCACACATTTATGATAAGTATTTAAAATTTTGAAATATCATATTTTGAAATGAATTGTGTAACGAATATATTGATTTGGATTGGTTTTAGCATCCAACACAATGAATGGAATTATCTCGAATGGTTCTCCACTTAGAAGGCTGTTATCATCGTGGAAGTGTCATGTAATTGTTGAACATGTTGAAAGTAAGTCTTAATGTTTTAGTAATGTTTGTATTTTATAAAACTACATATTTATTAATAGGTAAATTTTAGTTAATTAGTTTTTAATATATTGCTTAAAGATTAGAACTCTATTGGATAAGAAGACAATTGAAAAAACGAAATTTCGATATATATATTGTTATGATAACAACAATAGTCAACATAAAAATAACAATTAATATAATTATAGTGGTATTCAGGAGTTCGGTATCACGAGTTCGGTAACCAAGTAATAATATAAAGTTGCAATAATAAAATATATTTCGTATTCATTTATTGTTGGCACTTTACAGTAATATCATGTTACTCGGTAACCGAATTCATTTTTCAAAATCGTGAATACAAATTATATATTTTTCTTTATATATACTTCTCTATACAATCATCGATATTTTACCTTAATCATTTCAAGGTTAATGTATTAAACAATATAACTATATATTCATTTCAGATGAAGGTATTGATATTGAAGAACTGGAAATGATGAAGATTGAACACGTCATTGAACTTTTACGAAATTATCGGCTAGGTATTCGGATACGATTTGAACATAATTTTGAAAAATGGCGACGTGGTATAAACAAACCTGTCGCGAATATGGGTTCGAATAATATAAATGTTCCAATATTTGGATCTACTTTTAATGATATGCAACCAAACAATGAGAATAATCAAACATATAATAATAAATGTGTCAGTATTGGTGTGAACACTGACGCAGTAGAAATGAATGTATTATCCATAAAAACGCCACCCCCGTCATTACTAACATTACCACCCGCAATTAAGGTAATACCCCAAATAAATGAAATACGTGTACAAAAAGATGTTCCACAAATTTCACAAGCCGTCTCAATAGAATCTTTTTCATCTACGTACAGCCATACGGCTATTGACAATTCAGAAACAACATTGCTATTGAATATATTAAAATCCTCGGGACCTAGAGGTTTAGGTATACTTAAATATTATGATGAAAATAGAATATTAACAGATGCACATCGTACAACACTTATACAGTTAATTGTGGAATATTTTAAAAGAACCAATCAACATTTATCATTACCTACCACTTATGATTTAGAACAACAAATTCTAAAACTGTTCTCGACTGAAAAGCTGAGGCATTATCGTACTTCAAAACGTGGTAAAATATATATAAAATATTTCAATATCAAATCCACTAAACGGGAAAAGGATAAAAATAACAAAATGGACAGTTCTGAACACTTCGTTAATTTGATTGAGAGTGATCATGATAAATCGAATAAAACTATGATCACTAGTGATACTGCCCAAAATTCTGAGTCCAGTTATGAACCAACTGAATTATTGGAATTTGAAATCAAGACTGAAAAGGAAATGTTTGATATGGATGTTGTTTAAATGAGTGATTATGTAAATTATATAAAAATTAATTTGTGTATAATATAAATTTAATAATAAAAGATTAAAAAAAATATACATACCTACATAAAGAACAATATTTTTCTTGCTTTATTTTATTCGACCAATTTGAAATAGTAAATTTCTATTATATAATGGAATATAAACATACATATGTAGTATTTGCGCTCTTGGAGTTCAAAAGAATTAAATGGAACTATAAGAACCGACATATAAAATTGGGTTGACTTTAAAATATTTCTTGCTAAACTTGGTATGTTTATTACAATTTGTTCAAATATACATAGCTTGTGTTTTACCAATGCAATATTAGGGTTCCATGCAGTACAATTAAGACAGAATTTTAGGTGGTAGGAGAGCGTGATAAGAAAATGTTTTTTTGCAGCAAATGTGGGGTAACTTTTTCATCTGAGATTTACTTTAAGTGGGGTGCAGACTATCATACTGGTGTGTCATACGAGTTGCGCTCTCTCTTGCTCAAATTTCTTCTAGCGACCGAATTTGAACAGGTATGACACACAAGAGTAGGCAAAATTTTTGAAGAGTGCTTTTGCGGGTAGTGGTGTGAAAATTTGTGTGTTTAAAATAAAATTTTAAAATTGAAAAAATTGATAGTTAACGTATAGGTTATGCTTAGCTTATAATTGATTATAATTTTGTATATTTTATATATACCGCGTTTTTTTTGCGATCTTTATATTCACAGCTTTGGACATCCCACAAACAGCGATTACTTTTATTAGCATTCGATGAAAGCATCTAAAAATGCTTTATCTGCATCCATATTCATGTATTTTTTTAGGTTTATTGGTCTTTAAGCACAGTAGTTAAAATGAAAAGATCAGTAAAGGACCGTAGTTAATTTCATTCACTACCTGTAAAGTTTCTTAAGAAATTTTACATAAATAGATCATACAAATAATGTATATATATATATATATATAAGAATGTATATATCTTCATTGTTTTTAAAGAAATTTGATCATTTCCATATTTTTGTTAGTTAAAGGTTA